TTAATCAAGTTTTCCTTACACTCTGCTTTCGTAGCTCCGTGTATAATGATGTCATCGAAATACGACATTGTGTTTTTCTGGCCGGACAATATTTGTTCGATTATATGGTTGAATTCTGATGGGGCGGTTTTAATACCGAACTACAATCGGTTTACCCTGAAAGTACGCTTATGTGTTGATATGGTCTGCATTTCACTAGATTCTGGGCACACTCGAAGGTGTAAATAAGCTTTAAAAAGATCAAGTCGACAAAAATATTTCGATCCTTTAAGGGCCGTTTGCACCATGTCTAGTTAACGCTAAGGGTATGTAGTATTTCGTCGATTCGGCGTATTGGGTAGTTTGAAGATACTAACTGTGGGTTGACTCCTATTTTGTAATCGACACAGATCGTCTTATCCACGTTCGGCCTAGGAGAGCATCATAGCCATCCGGTACAACATACATATCTTCTTCTCAACAATGGTTATTGTATTTAACTACCACTTTGATTTTACCGTCATGTATTACTATATTTTTAGTGTATGATCGAAAAGCGATAGTTGAAGGCTGCAGTTTAGTACTGATATCGAGACGTCTGAATTTATTTCGCGGTAATAACGTGAATCCATCACCTGAGTCGACCTCAAATTTTTGACGGTGCCCGTTTATTTCCACGTTTACGTAATACTTTTCCATATCATTACCGGAATGCTGGTTGGAGTGGATGTCGATTATTTGATTTATACCGTAAACTTGATGAATCGAGTCATCAAACTCGACTTTTAAGAAAATCTTCTAGGGGTGTATTGTCTCGATGTCTACTTTACTCAAACAATATGACAATTAATGCATATTCTCATTTGGCCAACGTTCGTTGGGTCCGATGTCGCAAGGGCTGCCAATCTGACGCTCCCTATCAAAACACACATACGGCGCGTTTACAAAATATCGAACGTGAGCGTTGATTTACAAGTTGCAGAAATGCGCATTTCGCGCGAGCTATTTGAGCTAAAAACAAAAAAGTAAAAAAGAAGAGACAAAATTACATACACATCAGCTTCTCTTTAATTATTATAGTTATTTTGTTATGAATTTGTCTTCTTTCTTGCACAAGACGTCAAAATTATTGTCTGCATACGTCAAATCATTGTCCGATTTACTGTCTTCAAAATAATCAAGACAGTGATTAACGGCGCGTTTACATTAGACAATGCTGTAAAGACAATAAAGAAAAACGCATTAATTGTCAAAAACGCTGATCATTGTCTCCGTGGCGTAGGCGTCCTTACAATAGTTATTACAATTCATTTTGAGCAAAAAGTTGGACGTGAAACGCATTTCGAGCGAGCTATTTAAGCTAAAAACTAAAAAATAATAAAGAAGAGACAAAGTTACACATCAGCGTCTCTTGTGTTATTTTAGTTCTTTTGTTATGAATTCCTCTTCTTTCTTGCACAAGACGTCAAAATTATTGTCTGCATACGTCAAATCATTGTCCCATTTACTGTCTTGGAAATAATCAAGACAGTGATTGAGACAATTGGAAGAGTATGCAGTGAAAAATTGTGCATGTATTGTTATTGTCATGACAGTATTGTCCGATGTAAATCCTAAAGCTTGATATACAGTTCAATGCGAGCGTGAGCGTGAACGTTCACAAAGGCAAAGAATTCCATTTGTATTCTTATGGACGCTCACACACATCTATCCAAACTTGCCGTTCACATGCGAATGCTTTGCGTATGCACACAGTTGAGTGTGAGCTTGAAAAAAAGGCATTTTATGCATTTTAAATTAGTTTTTAATCTAAATTTCTGAAAGATATTTTATTTCTCTATCTTTTCATGTCTCAACTATAGCAAAAAGTTGAGTAATAACTAAGATATTGGTCAAAATAAAAAGCTCACGCTCACGCTCGCATTGAACTGTATATCAGGCTTAAGGGCCAGTTTCTCAGTGCACGGCCGCGGTTTAATTTATTATTTTTGTACGTGTTTTTGCAACCAATCACCGCGCACTTCATTTTAATTACATTTGCACAAAAAATTTATTGAAAACCGCTTAAACATCACCGAAATAAACCACCGACAAAATGCACATAAAGAAAAAGCAAAACAGAAATAGCAATCTTCAAAATTACGAGCGTCACACACTTTTTTCTCAATTACTATTTCAAATGTCTGCTTCTCAACCGGTCAGGGGGTCAATTCTCGTTCTGTGATAAGATGANGCGCAGACTTCGCGACGACCAAAATCCCTTTGAGATTACAACAGACGAGCATTTCATTGATTTATATCGGTTCCCTAAAGCTTTGTGCCTGGAATTAATTAATGAATTAATGCCATTTATGCCAAACTCGCAACGGAGACATGCTGTTCCGAGTCATGTAATTATTTTAAGCGCCCTGCGTTTTTTTGCCACTGGTAGCTTTCAAAAAAGTGTGGGGCAAGACAGTTTATCTGCTTTATCCCAAACATCAGTTAGCAGATGTGTGCAAGTGGTGGCAATTGCACTTAATAACATAGCCCACAGACATATAAAGTTCCCGNGAGTTTTTGAAATATACCATTTTCCTGCAATATGTTTTGAATATCTCACTGGTGAAAATAGTGGCATTATCGGATACTAATATTGACGGAAACCCGTGTGTGGAAAAAATATCTGCTAGAAGGCTTATTGTTATTAGCGTGGTTGGTGAATTCCGTATGGCTCGAAACTCAACCCATTTCGATTTTGCATCGACAACTATTAGAAAATGGTGATTTTGGAAAGGGCCGACATAGTCTATATGTATCCTTTCCCAGTTCCCGGTTGGTTCCTCCCAATGATGAAGTGGAACTTTTGCTGGTTTTGATTGAACCTGGGCGCACGCCTCACACGATCTTACCATTCTCTCAATATCGCGATCGATTCCCTTCAAGTAGCAGTATCTTCCTGCGAGTTGTTTCATTTTCGTTATGCCTGGATGTGTGTGGTGGAGTTCACGTAAAATGTATAATTTTTTTCGTTTTCATTAGTACAAATGAATAAATTATTTAAAATTTTTGAAAGATCAGGGGCTTTTGCCATTTCTTGTGCTAGCATTTCAGCATTTATGTATTCATTTGAAATTTCGAAAATTGATAATTGACATAATTAATTTACCTCTTCGTTGATGAGTTTGTCTGTGGATACTCTTTCTATGGCTGTGGTAGCTCTGGAGAAGCAGTCCACATTTACCTGTTCTAAACCTTTTTTATACACAATTTCGTAGTCAAAGCTTGATAAAAATTCAGCATATCTCAGTAACCTTGCTGAAGCTTACTACTTTGATGAAATATCCGTGTTAAGGGCCTATTATCAGTGACCAGTTGGAAACTCCTTCCGCACTNCTTGGCTGATGACACCAATTAGTGCGACATCATGTACCGCAGAAGAGCGCTACAATATAGCACACAAGTCAACTCGAGCTCTTGTAGAAAGATGCATTGGCTTACTAAAAACAGATTTCGCTGTCTGTCGAAGGAAAGAGCCCTTTTCTACAGTCCACCAAAAGCAGGTTTCATAATCAACGCTTGCCTGGTTTTACACAACTACTTGATTCGGGCTAGAGTGCCGTTCGATGCAATTTATTTGGAAGACTCTGAAGAACCTGAAGAATGTGGTGGCCCTTCTTCAGCTATTTCAACACAATATATTATCCATTGCGAAAGACCAACGATTGCAAATTGTTCAAAATGCTTTTACTAATGACATTCAAAATTAGATTGAAAATAATTCAACTTTTTATTTTTCATTCGTATTTCTACTTATTTACATATATTAATAAATATGCATATGTATATTATATTTCAAATGTTAAATTCTTTTTAAAGGCAGTTTTTATCACANCCTGAAGAATGTGGTGGCCCTTCTTCAGCTATTTCAACACAGAATATATTATCCATTGCGAAAAGACAACGATTGCAAATTGTTCAAAATGCTTTTACTAATGACATTCAAAATTAGATTGAAAATAATTCAACTTTTTATTTTACATTCGTATTTCTACTTATTTACATATATTAATAAATATGCATATGTATATTATATTTCAAATGTTAAATTCTTTTTAAAGGCAGTTTTTATCACAAAAGGTTTGGTTCATAAATTCATTGCAATGAGGACCTCATATTTTCTTAAAGACTAAAAAATAAAAAAAAAATTGAATTCTTTCATATTCGATATCTCATATTAGGCTCCAGAAGAAATATAAAAATACACACATAGATTGCTATATTTCCAAGATAAGTATTTTTAAATGCAGTTTTTATCACAAGTAAGTTTTGTATATAAATTCATTAAACAGAGAAATTCATATATTTTTAAAAGCTAAAAAAAATCATATTTTCATAGACACTAGAAAAAATAAAAATAGAATCGACTCCATATTTTCCTAAACTCTAAAAAACTTAAAAAAAAAAACGACTTCATGTTTTCTTTAATTCTAAATATTAAAAGTAAAACTGACTTCATATTTTCTTAAACTCTAAAAATACTAAGAAGAAAAAGGACTTCAAGTTTTCTTAAGCATTAGAAAAAGGTATAAAAAAAATTGTCTAATACTTATGGACAAGGCTGTTTCTAAAATTGAAACATTCTCACGGCCGCCTCAAAATTTCAATTAAGTGTTGTATTACTATTATTGCCTCTGTCTGCTCCTTCACCGCTTGGATCTGTTCGCGTTTTAAATTATTGGCGATCTCCATTTCCCTTACCTTGATTTCTTCTAGCCTAAAAAATTTTTTTAACTGAGGGTTTTCTGCTTGCGCCTTTCTTTTTCGCCCTCTCGAACGGGCTGCTGCTGTGCAGCCTCTTATTGATGCAGCAGTTGAGGTGCTCGCCCCCATCATTGGACACGTAGTTGCATCTTCCAATGTGGTTGCGGCTGCAGTACCATCTAACTCGCATTCAGCCACAACAACTTCGAATGTCTCCTCCACAATGTCAGCGAGATTGTGAGAAGCTTCTGCCATGTCGAGTGCTTCAAATCCCACTTCGCCCGTTTCATCACCATCGACTGCCTGCACAGTTGTAATCTTAATTATGCGCTCTTCCAGCGGTGACAGTGCTTTGGCCCGGCTCAAACCGTTTATACCACTTCTCTGCTCTGCCTGCCTTATTGCACTATATTTTGTGCGAGTATGAAGTCTGTTTGTAGGTATTAAAACAAAACATTAAAAAAATAATCACATCATGAAAAATTTATATACATACTTTAAATCGCTCCATTACTTCTTCCATTTTGCACCATCCTTTTGAGTGCCGCCAAGAGCATTAAGGCTCACCGCTAGTTCTTTCCACTTTTCTTCGCGAAATTTGGCACCATCTGCCGTCACAAATCTATAATTATAAATAACTGGTATTCGTTTGTTTATGTTAAGAAGGCTTCATACTTATCGTTTGCAATGTCTACATTGCCTAGATAATTTATTAAAAACTCTTTTTGGTTTTCGCTGGCGCGCTTTCCTCTTGGTATATTCTCCATCTTGTTTTCACGTATAAATAGGCTGTGTATAATTTTCTTACATATGATAAGTTTTTGACAGTTGGTTGCACTGTTTCACAGAACGAGAATCGTCAGGGTTGTGAAAAAGTGAAAAATTTCGTTTCGTTCCACTTTTTTTTCATGTGAAAACACTTTGACGTTTCTTTTCATTTTTTCACTGAAAGCGAATCGGAAGTGCAATGAAAACGCGAAAAAAGTTTTCATTTCACCGTTTCACAGAACGAGAATTGACCCCCAGATCTGTTCTAATTGAGAATTTCGTTATGTAGGTTGGTCAACTGGTTGGCCGATAAATCAATGCGTGTGTAGGACCTTTAAGTGAGACAATTGTGGAAGTATGCATGCATTACGGCGCGTTTACATTGCACAATAAAGTAAAAAATGGCAACGATTTGACTATAAAAAGGCAATAAGATGACCATCGAAAAAGAAAATGAACGTAAGATTGGCGGCGTCTTGCGCTTATTTGCCAATAGTACCAATAATCAATACTTATTTGCGTGATTTAGTTATTTGCAAATAAAAAATTAGCTCAGCGTTTATACGGCAAAGTTTACCATTTTGCAAATTGTTATTTGCAAATAATACGTGCGTATAACATAGTATTAGTTGACAAAAAAGCTGATAATTGTCTTCAAGACGTAGGCGTCCTGACAATAGTTAGGACAATTCATTCTGATCAAAATATCGAACGTGAATGTTGATTTATAAGTTGCAGAAATATGCATTTCGCGCGAGCTATTTGAGCTAAAAACTAAAAAATAAAAAAGAAGAGACACAATTACATACACACCAGCGTCTATTTAATTCTTATATCTACTTTGTTAAGAATTTATCTTCTTTCTTGCACAAGACGTCAAAATTATCCTCTGCATACGTCAAATTGGAACAAATGCAGTTTGGCTCCAAATCTCAAATTAGAAAATATTGGGATCGATAGAGATGATTGAGCTGAGTATAACGGTATACTTCTTTTTTTAGGGAAACAACAACAAAAACAGTTATCACAGGTTAAATTTCATAATACGCTATTTTTGAAATCAAGATTTCTTAAAAACAAATGGATGAATAATTTGGTATACGCACTTTAGATATATGTTGTATAGTTCTTACAAAATTGTCTTTCTGTGTTGCGAAGAAAAGGCACTGAACACCTTTTGCAGAGAACATCCTTCTGCATAGGAGGCCGCACTTAGGGATTATTACCCTCACAAAGTAGAATTCTTTTTCTGTCTTGCGAAGAAAAGGCACTGAACACCTTTTGCAGAGAACATCCTTCTGCATAGGAGGCCGCACTTAGGGATTATTACCCTCACAAAGTAGAATTCTTTTTCTGTCTTGCGAAGAAAAGCCACTGAACACCTTTTGCAGAGAACACCTTTCTGCGTAGGCGGCGTCGGCCGCACTTAGGGTTTGTAAGCTTTTTTTATAATTATTTTATATAAATTCAATTTTTGTAAGAATTATACAACATTTATATAAAGTACGTATACCAAATGAAAGGGAATCAAATTTCCTATTGAATGCGAAATTTTTCACAATATATCCGTTAGTTTTTAAGAAATCTTGATTTCAAAAACAGCTTATTTTGAACTTTAACTTTTCATAATTCTTGTTGTTGTTGTTTCCTCAAAAAAGAAGTATACCGTTATACTCAACTCAATCATCTCTGACGATCCCAATATTTTCTTTTCTGATTTGAGATTTGGAGCCAGACTGCATTTATGCCTAGGCCTTAATTGTTACACAATTTATCATACGAAAATTCAATATTATTAATTGGCGATTAATAATTAATTGGCAATCAATTTGTGTCGGATTCTCTATGCAACCCTGCTAGGTATGCTTAATTTTGACTTGGAGGTATGTTTATTGAATCAGCTGTTTGTTTCTGGTCCTCTTTTACAGCGGATATTCCATCAAGGATGGAAAATTGAATTATAAAATTGTACCTGATTTACGGAAACCTTACCTAAAAGTAAATAGATGTACCTAAAAAGTAAATATGTATTTATATATAAAGAAAAATAGGAGGTAACAATTCCGATCAATGCCATATCAACTTCTGTACTCACATTAAACAAATTTTCGGCTATGAAAAGTATCTCTTCGAGCAGCGCGAGGCAAAACTATGTTGTGAATCCCTCTCTTCCCAGTTGTTCGATCTGACTTTTTAAAACGAAGTATTTTGCATCTATCTGGCGAAATCCACTACAGTTGCGTTACTTTGACCACCCTTCTGTATCATTTTTATGCCTCTTCTTCAAAGGAGGGAAGCTATTAGACCAGTTGCCCGCACCAGAAAATGCATTGCAATGTCAGTAAAAATAAGAACTGATTTCCTGAGAAGCTATTTGGCTACGTTCCAAAGGTACCTAAAATTGTGTGTTTGTCCCGAATGTACTTTCAAACTAAATAAAGTTACGATTGTAACAACTTTTCCGTCACTGTAGGTAATCCAACAGCTGATTTCGTATCGCTAATTGGGCAGCTGACGTGTGTATGTACACAAAACACAATAACGCAATTTAGAGCTTAATTGCTTCAGCTAATTCGCCTGTTTGAAAATAGTTTTACTATCTTCAAAACAATCAAGGCAGTGATTGAGACAATTGGAAAAGTATAGCCTGATATACAGTTCAATGCGAGCGTGAGCTTTTTATTTTGACCAATATCTTAGTTATTACCTAACTTTTTGCATTAGTTGATTCACCTAAAAGAGATATAAATATCTTTCGGAATTATAGAATAAAAACTAATTTAAAATGCATAATATACATTTTTTTCAAGCTCGCACTCAACTGTGTCCGTACGCAAAGCATTCGCATGTGAACGGCAAGTTTTGACAGATGTGTGTGAGCGTCCATAAGAATACAAATGGAATTCTTTGCCTTTGCGAACGTTCACGCTCACGCTCGCATTGAACTGTATATCAAGCTTTAGGATTTACACCGGACAATTCTGTCATGACAATAACAATACATGCACAATTTTTCACTGCATACTCTTCCAATTGTCTCAATCACTGTCTTGATTATTTCCAAGACAGTAAATGGGACAATGATTTGAAGTATGCAGACAATAATTTTTACGTCTTGTGCAAGAAAGAAGAGGAATTCATAACAAAAGAACTAAAATAACACAAGAGACGCTGATGTGTAACTTTGTCTCTTCTTTCCAATTGCGTTTCACGTCCAACTTTTTGCTCAAAATGAATTGTAATAACTATTGTCAGGACGCCTACGCCGCGGAGACAATTATCAGCGTTTTTGACAATTAATGCGTTTTTCTTTATTGTCTTTACAGCATTGTCTAACGTAAACGCGCCGTTAATCACTGTCTTGATTATTTTGAAGACAGTAAATCGGACAATGATTTGACGTATGCAGACAATAATTTTGACGTCTTGTGCAAGAAAGAAGAGAATTTCATAACAAAATAACTATAATAATTAAAGAGAAGCTGATGTGTATGTAATTTTATCTCTTCTTTTTTACTTTTTTGTTTTTAGCTCAAATAGCTCGCGCGAAATGCGTATTTCTGCAACTTGTAATTCAACGCCCACGTTCGATATTTTGATCAAAATGAATTGTCCTAACTATTGTCAGGACGCCTACGTCTTGAAGACAATTATCAGCTTTTTTGTCAACTAATACTATGTTATACGCACGTATTATTTGCAAATAACAATTTGCAAAATGGTAAACTTTGCCGTAAAAACGCTGAGTTAATTTTTTATTTGCAAATAACTAAATCATGCAAATAAGTATTGATTATTGGTACTATTGGCAAATAAGCGCAAGACGCCGCCACAAAAGGTTTGCCAACTTGCCCACACACGGCTTATATACCACCAACTTCTAGCGGTTGGCCAACTGGTTGACCGATAAATCGATCCACGTGTAAGGCCGTTTAGGGACAGTTTTTCAGTGCCAGTTTAAACTTAGTTTATGCAGCGTTTTTGCTGCATTTAAAATGCAATATTTAGCACTTTCGAACATATGTTTTCAAAGAGCGTTCATGCTACCGCATTTAGCAAATGTACATTTACGCGAGTTCGAAATCGTATGCTTTTGACAAACAGCCGTGTTCCAGTCGCTTATTCAGATCCGTATCTATTACGATAAATTCTCACAGAAAAGATAATATGCAAAAACCCCTACTGAATAGGAAAAAAAAAATTCTAAACCGAAAATTCAATACAAAAACTTGAATTGTTTTAACCATAACCCAACATTTGTTTGTGTATATATTCATTTGTCGGTGCTGTCAATTATAATTTCCATACTTAATTAGGAAACAAAATAAACAGAGTTGATCACAAATTAATCCAGATTTATATCAGCATCATATCGATGTTGAATTTGCGTAACTTTTCTTTATCCAAATAATGTAAAATAATAAATGAAATCTCGATCGGCGATCACTGAAACGCAGCTAGCGACTGTATACTCGAAAAAGCAATGTTGCCACTTTTTCACATTAAACCATGTTCGAATCGTGGAAATTTTGGAAGATCACAGGGTTGCTTTTAGCATTTAGATTCTTAATGCAAAAATGGAGTTGCATTTAGTTGCATTTAGGTGACGAATTTTGTATGGATAAATGTACATTTAGAGTAGCATTTAGAGCTAAATGCGCTAAATGTGCTTTTACGCGTAAGCAAAAACAGCCCATTAAGTAAACGGAGTTTAAATTGAACAGCTGGCTGACATTTGATTGGCTGATCTTAGTTTAAACCAGCCAGACCGTGCGTTTAAACTGGGTTTAAACCACGGCCGTGCACTGAAAAACTGGCCCTTAAGCCTGATATACAGTTCAATGCGAGCGTGAGCGTGAGCTTTTTATTTTGACCAATATCTTAGTTATTGCTCAACTTTTTGCTATAGTTGAGACATGAAAAGATAGAGAATTAAAATATCTTTCAGAATTTTAGATTAAAAACTAATTTAAAATGCATAAAATGC